AAATGATTAGAGGCTTCAACACAAGATTGAAACTACAAAACTTCTGAAAAGGAAACACAAGCAGTTAAGTTCTCTGACATCGATCTTAGAGATTTTTTTTTATTTGCATGTGATTCCAAGAGCAAGCAAAACTCAATAAATACGATTACCTGTACTGAAGGATTCTGCAGTGACGGAAACCATGAAGGAAAAAGGTAACCTGCTGAGTGGGAGAAGTTCTTTATAAATCACATATCCAAGGAGGATTTAAAATCCAAAACAGAATACTCATCCAAGTTAATAACCAAGGGATATTTCTATCAAAACTGGGCAAATCATCAAATAAACCCTGCTCCAAAGAACACATTCAGGGGCAACAGGCATGAGCAAAAATGCTTAATATCACTAATTCGGGAAATGCAAATCAGAACTACAATGAGATGCCACCTTACAGCTGTCAAAATGGACATCATCAACAACACAAGGAGCCCAAATAACAAGTACTGGTGAGGGTGGAGTGACAAGGAAACCCGTGAAGGTGCAACTGGTAGAAAACACTACAGAAGTTCCTCAAGAAGTTAGAAAGAAAACTACCGCCTGATTTCCTCCCCACCCCAACGAGACCCCAAGTCATGGCGCACGAATGGCCTCTCTGGCTCCTGATCAAGCGGCTTAATGGCCATGATCCCAGACTCAGAAACAAATCTCAGAACCCAGCGGCTTTTGGCAGAAATATGTCTGGTCCCTCCAGTAGGTTACCGGCGCTGGGCCACCCCAGGTGGGAATAGGTTTCGTGCCTTGGCCTGTTCCCCCTGGTGGCCTCCTGGCCACCATCCTCCAGAGGCCACTGGACAGTCAGGTTTGGGCCCGCAGTGACGAGACACGCAGGGCAGCAAGGGATGAGGATGGAGCTGGCCCTTTCCTCCCTGTCCCAACGAGACCCCGAGTCGCCACCCAAAAAGGGCCTCTCTGGCTCCTGTTCAAGCTGCTTAACGGCCATGATCCGAGAGATTCAGGAACAAAACTTGGAACCCAGCAGGTTTTGGCAGAAATCCCTCCAGATGTAATTGTTAAAATTTCGTATTTTCAAAATTGCGTGGCCACTATTGCGGCCGCACAACATCATTATGTTATTCATAACCAGCAATAGAAAACAAATTGTCTACTGTTGCCTTTTTGGCAGATCTGAGTGTTGGAGTAAAATCCCAAATAATAATGGTGGGTCTGGTGTCAAAATACTGAATGTAATCAAAGTAGAGAGAGAGAGCAATGAGGAAATCATCTGCCCCACAGGTAGGGGGAGGGTGTGGGATGGAGGTATACTGGGGTTTTTGGTGGTGGAGAATGGGCACTGGTGAAGGTACGGGTGTCTCATTGTATGAGCAAGACTTAAACCCGAAAGCTTTGTAACTGCTCTCACAGTGATTCAATAAATAAAATTATAAAAAATGGAAAAAAAAAGTAAGGTGGAGTTCATGCCCAATTCAATCAGCCTAATCAGTGGCTGAATAAATAGCAGTACACCTACATAAAAAAAAAAAAAGAAAAGAAAAAAAAACTACCACATTATCCAGCAACATCACTTCTGGATACTGTTCAAAGAAAACAAAACCACTATTTCAAAAAGAGAGACACACTCGAGCTCCCATACTCACCGCAATATTGTTTACAATAACCAAGATATAAAAACAGCCTAAGAGTTCACAGAGACAAAAGAAAATGTAGATGTTCATCTGTATACATACAGATGGATATATGCATACATACACAATGGATCAATATGAAAAAAAATGAAATCCTGTTTTTTATAACCACCTGTATGAACTGAAGGTGTGATGCACTGCAGCACTATCGTCTGCTGTTCTTTGATTTGCTTTGCTCACTGGGCAGGCACCAGTAACGTCTCCATTGTGAGACTTGTTACTGTTTTTGGCATATCAAATACACCACGAGGAGCCTTCAGGCCAGATACCCTCATTAGCTTGCAGGGCTCTCCGAGAGGGATGGAGGAATCGAACCCGGGTAGGCTGTGTGCAAGGCAAACGTCCTACCCGCTGTGCCATTGCTCCAGCCCGAGGGTGTGATGCTAAGTGAAATAAGCCAGAGAAAAAGAAAAATACTCTATGATTTCATTTATACGTAGAGTCTAAAAGTTGAAACAAAGCCAATCTCTTAGATACAGGGAACAGACAGGTGGTTACCGAAGAGGAGGGCTGTTGCTGGTGGGTGAAGCGTAAGGAGATGAAAGGTACAAATATTCAGTGGTGAAATAAATACGCCAAGGGGAAACAGGGTATAACATGAGGTCCATGGGCATTAATATAGTCGAGCATGCTTGAAAGATGTCAGGAGTCGACTGGAGGTAGACTGGGGTGATCATTTTGCATTGTATACCAATGTTACCTAAATTAATGTAATGAAGAATGTCAATTATACTTAAACAAGGAAACAACAACCACAAAACCCAAATCACAGCTCAGGTCTAAGAGGTCTGTAAAAATTGGCCTCTGAGTAGCCAAAATACATGCCACACGGTTCATACACTTAGGAAAAAAAGTATTTAAAGTGTGAATTTACAGGTATATAAACACATATAAATAAATACATGAAAGAACATTAGTCAGGGCCACACAATTTCATTTTTACACAAATTTCCAACAATGTAAGTGTCTGATTTTTCAGGTCCACAGTTTGCAAGCAAAAATTAGAAGGGGAAAAGAGCCAGCTATAAGTAGACATTTATGAGTCTATGGTTCAACAAATAAAAACTTTTTTAAAAAGTACACACAGTCACTCAGGATAAGTTCTCCACAACTGTTTATTGATGGATTCCCAGAAAAATAAAATTCACTAGAATCCTTAAAGTTCCATTAACCTACCACAAACGGAAAATTTAAACATTCTTTAAAGCTTCATATTTCAAAACAAGTATTTACTAAATATAGAAAAAAAATTGTAAAGGACATAGACATACTGCCGATACAGCTCCTATCATACGCCAACAAGATACAGTCAGTAAATAGTAAGAAAAAAAACAGTGTAGACACACCAAGTTTGAGGATGGCAAGGCTGCTTTCAAAGGCATCTAATCAAGAATATGGGCCCACTCATTCTGGGAATTCTGAAGGTGTTCTTTTTGAACTCCATGTTCCAGTTAATATGAAAGAATCATCAACAAAAATTAATCCTGCTAAACTGGTCTTCAATACATACCCTATAAATTTACCTAGAAAAATCAAGCAGCATCACTGACATGCAACATCCAGTAGCAAAGGCTGCTTGACCCCTTTGAAAAGGACTTTGAACAGTAACACCAGCTGGCTACTCACTCACTTTGTTCCCCACTCCTGGACATCTAGGACAAAACTATTCACCAAGGGCTACAACTGTTTTTAGCAAGAGATGATGGAGGCACCAAGACAACTGATGAAAGTTAAGTTGTGATGGCTCAAATACATACTAAAGCTGTATCCCTAACTTTAATAGTGTTCAGAGTACTCCCTACAAGAACTACTGGAGGGCCAGAGAGATAAAAGTGCCTGCTTGCCCTGCATGTGGTCGACCCCAGTTCAATTCCCCACATCACATTTGGTCCTCCAGCATGGTCCTCCAGCACTGCCAAAAGTGACTCATTCTCACAACCAGGTGGAACCCCCAAACAAAAGAACAATCACTAGAGTAAGGAGAGTTTTATTTCATCCCGAAACTTTTTCAAATAGCAGGAAAGCAAATCAGTGTATCGTCACAACGATTAAAAGTCAGCAAGATTAACCGTGTTGTAGGGATAAATCAACTCCACGGATCCAGGCTTCTCATGTTTCTTTCTCATCCACAGCAAGGACCAAGAAAGTTCAAGCATGCATGTAATTCCAAAATGCCATCAAATGAGGCTTTTCTCACTCTGCAGAAGCGCTAGCTCTCTCTTGATTACTGTTTTCCTTTTTCTCTCCCATCCTATCAAAGTAAATTTCTTTCAAGAGAGTTTTTTTTTTTTTTTGGCTAGACCAAAATGTTATCAAACGATCAGGTAACACTTAAGATAGAAAAGATGCGGTGCTTTAAGAGAACCTTGAAGAGCTACACATTGCAACTCTGTAAACACCTCCAGCAGTTCCCTGCCCTTGCGGGCAGGGGCCTCTACCTCCCTTCCGCAGCCGCGCTCTGAAAACCCACAGAGTGGTCACAAGGGGAAGAAATGTGTCTTTGCAGGAGGTGATTTTTCAAACTGCAAGTTGGGACCCATAAATCAACTGAGTGGATGGCGGTTAGCATTTGTTGTTTTGGTTTCTTTGGGCCACCTTGCCCAGTCTTCCAGGTGCTGGAGATTTCCGCAGCTGGGTGGGAGTGTGTGTGTGTGGGGGGGGGGGGGGGGGCGTGTTACAGACCATTCCGGTGCTGGGGCTCGAACCCGGGCCTCCCACACGCTGTGCATGCCAGCCAGGCCGACTGCCTACTCCTGATGGAACTGGAAGTGATTATTTACCTTCTCCTCCCTGCTCTGGGGCCACCCTCCGCGAGGCTCGGGGGCGGATCCCATCTCGTGGACCCGGGGTCCACGAGCGGGTGCCTGGGATGGACCCGGGCGCCCGTGGGTGCAAGCACGAACCCTGGCCCTGGGGGGGACCGTCGCTCGGGAAGGGCAGGGGGCGCGACGGCCCTGCCCAGGTTGCAGCCCGGGCCTCGTGGGTCAGCACGGTGCCCACGGAGGGGGAAGGGGTCCCGGCCCACGCGGGGCGGGAAGGCCGAGGCGGGTGAGATGTGAAGTTTGAAAGCGGGACGTTTCCTTGGGCGGGGTCGCCCTCGGCTCCTCCCGGCCCGGGCCGGGGCCTGCGCGGACCCCGGGACCCCCCACAATCGGGGGCGGCGCCTCCAGCGTCCCCCCGGCAACGCGCGGGCCGGGCCCGCCCCGGCCCCGACTCCGGCCGGCCCAGGCGCCCACCGCGGCGGGCTCCGGCGGCTCCGGGCCCCGCGGCCGGCCCGGGCAGCAAGCGGGGCCCCGCCCGCCCGCCCGGCCCACTCACCCCTGCCCGGAGCCGGGGCGCGGCGGCGGCGGCGGCGGCTCCTCGGGCTGGTCCCGGCCGCCCCGGGCCGCTGGGCTTCACCGCGTCCCCCGCGCGGGCCGCCCGAGCCCGCTGTCCTCCATTGACCCGGAAGCAGCTCTCCGGCCCCACAACAACACGTGACCCCGCGCACGTGTCACGTCCGCCGCGCGGGGGGCGGGGCGTTGCCGGGGCGACGGCGACGCCCGGGAAGAGGCGCAGGCCGGCCGGGAGTCGGTCTGGGCTGCGGGCCGCCCGCTGGCCCTGGGTCCCGGCCAGCCGAGTCGCCTCCGGTCTCGGGGCTCAGAGGCCCCGGCACAGGCGCGCGCGAGCGGCGGCAAAGGCTCCCGGGAGGGAGGGGGGGAACAATCCCGGCTGCCAGCGCCCCCACTGCCCAGCCGTGTCCGAATGCCTTTACAAGGGTTCCAGAGCACCTGTGTTCAGAATGGGAGCCTGCAGAGACAGACAGACAGACAGACACACACACACACACACACACACACACACACGGTGCACTGGAGGAGTCAGGCTATATATGGGAACTCAAAGACAGACACACAGACGTTTATATGGTGTATTGGGGGAGCCAGGATATATATATAGGATCGCAAAGACAGATACACACACACACATTTATGTGGTGCATTAGGGGAATAAGGATATATATGGGAGCCCAAAAACAGACAGATACAAAGACACACACATTTATATGGTGTATTGGGGAACCAGGATACATATGGAAGCCTGAAGATACACACACACACACACACACACACACACACACTCACTCTCTCTCTCATGATGCATCGGGGAACCAGGATATATGCAGGAGCCCGAAGACAGACATACAGATACACAGACATTTATATAGTGCATTGGGTAACCAGTGTACATATGGGAGCCCGAAGTCAGACAAACATACGCATTTATATGGTGTATTGCAGCCTGAAGACAGACAGATAGACACACACACGTTTATATGGTGTACTGGGGAACTGAGATATCTATGGGTTCAGGTGGGGGAGGTGTAAGACAACATTCTGGAGCTGAAGCCACTGGCAGCTTCTCACCACCTGTTACTTCTCTTATTCTCTCTCTCTCTCTCTCTCTTTTTTACCCCATGGGTGGGTCTTAGAAGAGTTGGCAAAGCAAGCAGGAGAAAGAGGAAAGGCTGTGGGCATGCCAGGCCCATTGGCACAGCCGCCTTACACACGTTAGGACTCAAGAAACCCATCCCCCAACCCCGCCCCCACTGCAGGAGGCCTTTCAAGGGGACACTGTGGGGACACTTTGTTGACAGCCTTACCTGTGAGTCAGGTACCTGGGGGCAGGCGACCTTTGGGGTCCTGTGCACATCTGGGAAGAAGAGCAACAAACGTGAGTCATGTCTGCTGGCCAGCACAGCAGGGTGCCCGGGTGCCAGCTGGCTCAGGGACTGCGTTCCTGGTTCCTCAACTCGCTTTTCTTTGATCATCGCTCTACAGTGCAGACTCCACCTCTGCACCCTCTCTGCTGCCTCTCCACAAGACAGCCAGAATGATCTTTTCAGAAACTCCTATCTGATCTGGTTATTTCCTGAGTCTTAAAATCCTTTGGAGACTCCCCAAGGTTTTCAGGATAAAAATCTACAATACTAACGTGCTCAAGGCTGTCACGTGACCATCCTGCTGTCTTTTCCAGCTATATGTCTTACCCATCTCCTCGGACTTTCTGCCCGCTCTGTTCAGTTGGGCAGCCCCTAGCTATGTGAGTCACTTGCATAGAAGTGAGTTAAAATGAAGTTAAATTAAAATGGCATCTCCTGAGTCCCCAGCACTAACCACATCTCAGGTGCTCTGTGACCTCTCTGACTAGTGGTTCTCCTATTGGAAGAGGAGATTGAGAACATTTTCCTTATCAGAGAAAATTCAGCTGGGGAATGCAGTACGCTCCTTCCAGTCAGCTGAGCCCTTCTCGACATTCTTGGAGCTGCTGAAGATGGAAAATTGTACATGATTGCTGATTTTCATATTGTCTCTTTGATACTGAGTGATCCTATTTCTGTTAACATTTCACAATGGAGCTGAGAGACTGCACAAATGAAGAAATACCCAAAGGAACGGTCTTTTTGAAGCAGCCGATCTGCCCTGATTGTCTCAACAGATCCTGACCACACAGGTTTTGTCACCAGACCACTCAAGAATGGGGAACCATCTCTCTTCTTAATAATTTACACCCAGGAGGCTGTAGAGATCGCTGTGCATGCTTTGCAAGCCAGAGGTGTGGTTTGATCCCTGGCACCCCTATATGGTCCCCAGAGCCCTGCAGGGAGCAACCCCCCACCCACCCACACACAAGCACTGAGCCAGGAGTAGCACCTGAGAACTGCCAGGTGCGCCCCTTCCAAAACATAACAAAATGATGCTAAAAATGTAGGCCCCAAGGCTGCCTAGTAGGTGCAACTGTCTCTCCTTTGGGACATGCCCAAAGACAGGAGGGAAAAGGGGAAGATGAACAGCTTTGGGCACATAAGGCCCATTGGCACAAGCACCCTCCAAAACACCTTAGTGGCAAGGACTTCTGGAGCAGAGAGAATTGTGCGTGTGCACATAGGCGTGCGCGTGGACACACATACACCTCAATATGAGGTTGGGGGGCGCTTCGGGGAGACTTCGTTAATTACCTTACCTCTGAGTCAGGTACCCTGGGGGCAAGCTACCACCTGTGTCCTGCGAGCAACAGAGAAAAGGGCCAAAACGATGTGAGTCATTTTGCTGAAACTTCTATCTTTTATTTCTGACTTGGGTAAATTTTCTTTTCACGAGCCTGCGTATATGGTGCCAACAGCTCCTGTGGAGACTGGAGGCAGGTGTGCAGTGCTCGCCATTGATTACTCACTCTGTGCAGGACTGCACTGCTATAGGCACAAAGGAGAGAGCCGAAGGTGTCAAACTAACATGACAGGAAGGAGCAGGCCACTTACTTGTCACTTGATTAGAAATTGTTGAGAATTTTTTTTTTTTACCTACTAGCAGAAATTTTATACGGTTCAATCTAACGATTAGGAAGAACACGGGAAATATAGGAACTACTTCAGGCAGTTCTAATGGGCTCCCTCTCACCGGGGGAGGTTAAGCAAAGGCAGACCCCACAGAAGAAATTGCTGCTGCGTTAGCTGGACTGGTTTGCCAGGCTGACTCTAAGGATCCTAAGTCCGTGTTCTTCCAAGTCTTTATTCAGGGGGGAGTAAGCTGTAATGGCCATAAGGCTTTCTATGGATCAGACATTTTTCAAGATTTCCCACATAGAGTGTTACCTCTAATCCCAACGGTGTTCTTATGAACGGTGTTGACCAAGTGGGACTCAGATTAAGTAACACAACCAGCAGTATATTAGTAGTCGGTGACAAAATATGAATTCCTATTTAAGTCAGTCTGACACCAGCATCTGAGTTCATAGTAACTCTGCAATGATGGAATATACACCTGGGGTGAAGTTTCAATCTGGTGTTTGTCCTTTGAATATAGAAATGTTTATTTTATAATAAATGTCTTCCTTGAACTCGGCCAAATGGTTTGTAAAGGCAAGGATGAAGCGTAAGTTGCAAAGATAAGACTTAAATAACAGTGATATAAGACAACTGAAGGTCTGCTATTTTGAAGAGATAAGGCAGTCATTCCAAGTAACTGAAGGATAGGACAGATATATAAAAATCCAGTGAGCATCGTCAGTATACAGTTGGGAACATGGGGAAAAAGCAGTGACTGCACCAGGAAGAAGAATGACTGGATTATCAATGAAGAGTTAGCAATGTTAGTTCGGATTTTTCCACTAAAGAGTTTTATCACTTGATCTCTTTCTACCTTAGAACTTCACCTACCAAACAACCTGGACTGAAAAAATGATTATGGTGTAAATGAGGTACAAAATGTTATACATAGAGTTTAAAAAATATATTTGTAAGAGGAAATGTCAGAGTCTTCAACAACAAAAATTACAACTAAAAAAAAAAAGCATTACTTTTCATTATTGCTTTAAATTCTGCAATTCCGAGATCCCTCATTTTATTTTTATCCACATTATTGACATAGCTGCCAGGAAATGGGCTGTCATGCCGTGCTTACTGACCAAGCAAATAGCAGAGATATTTTTAATTTTAAACTTAGAGTCATACCTAGAGCTACTTAAAATGTTTAAAGATTTCCTTACTGGGCAGAACAGGATTCTTAAAAATAACTCTTAATTTGCTTTTCTGCAATTTACATAAATGTATCCAGCTTTATTTTCAAGGAGGCCTTATGTTTATGAAAATGAAGAGTGATGCTGGGGATGGAACTCAAGGGGTAAAGCACTTGCACAGCTGATGCAGGCAGGCAGATGCCCCCCGCCCTGCATCAGGCTCCAAGCACCACTGGATGTAGCCCCTACTTAAAAAACATCATTTGCAACAAATTGTTAGATGCTTCACTAATCCCTTTTTTTTTTTAACCTAAATAGAGAGTTCGGTCATGTAAAGCAAAACTCTTTGGAGGCAGCTGAGGTTACCCAGATTATCTGACCTACAGACCCCTTTTCAAGAAAGAAAATTACTCAGCACTCACTTTTTTTTTCTTTTTGGGTCACACCCGGCGATGCACAGGAGTTACTCCTGGCTCTGCCCTCAGGAATTAACTCCTGGCAGTGCTGGGGGACCATATAGGATGCTGGGAATTGAACCTGGGTCAGCCGCATGCAAGGCAAATGCCCTACCCACTGTACTATCACTCCAGGCCCAGCACTCACTTCTTTTTTTTTTAATTGTACCACAAAGTAGTCCTATTTTTTTTTTAATTAGTGAAACACCATGAGGTACAGTTGTAGACTTATGAACTTTTCTGCTTGGGTTTCAGTTATACAATGATCGAGTACCCATCCCTCTACCAGTGCCCATTCTCCACCTCCAGTGCTCCCAGTATCCCACCCCCCCCCCATCTCCCCCATCCAACCCTGCCTCTGTGGGAGGGCATTCCCTTTTGTTCTCTCTCTCCTTTTGGGTGCTATGGTTTGCAAAAGAGGCATTGAGTGGCAATCATGTTTGGTCTATAGTCTACTTTCAGCACGCATCTCCCATCCCAAGCGAATCCTTCAAACACCCTTTACT